CTCTTTGGGAGGCTGAACACAGGTGGATCACTACAAGTCCGATCTAAGACCCTATAGACCCTGTCTAAATATGAAATAAATAAATAAATAAATAAATAAATACCATAATTAATAAAAAAGAAATGTTGCCATGAGTTTTGTTTGCTGTCTGTCTCAGTGGACAGAGACCAGGTCTACTTCGCTTACATGTATCTATCCACTGATACACACAAGACTTGCCATTTTACAGTTACTAATTAACAGTATAAATGAACACTGAATGAATGAACACTGTATCAAAAAAAGAAAGAGAAAGATAGACAAAAAAGTAAGGGAACAGAGCTTCTTAAGAGTATTTACCTGTCATGGAGAGTATTTATCCTCTTTCTTAAGAGTCTGTATCCAGAAAATTTTCTATTTTGAGCTCTTGGCCTGCTTCTTTGAAATATGTATAGCTGATTTTAAATGTTGGATAAGCCTCTTGCCCACTTTATGACCAAGAATCACGACTCAGCTCGCTCTCTCCCTCTCTCGCTCTGTCTCACTCTCTGCCTTTCTCTGTCCCTCTGTTTCTCTCTCTCTGTGTCTGTCTGTCTCTCTCTCTCTCTCTCTCTCTCTCTCTCTCTCTCTCTCGCATCCATCTCTTTACAGTATAATCAGCTGTCTCTCAGTCTCTCAGTTCCTGTGGGAAAGTAGATACTTAACTTGGGAAGATCCCTGGCTCCAGTGCTCAAAACTGCCTCCTGTCAGCTGGGCATGGTGTGGCACACCTAACACCCCCAGCTTTCTGAGAAGCAGGGGCTGGAGGATTGCAAACTTTAGCCCACCGTGGACAATACTGAGACTTGGTGGAACACTATTTCAAAATAAAACGTACAGGGAATGGGGAGCAAGCTAGAGCCCTTCCTCAGTACAGAGGTCTTGGTTTCAATCTGCAGTAGTGACACCTCCTGCCATAAAGATAAGAGAAATTTATCTTCCTTCCAGATAAGGCCAATTAACCACTGCAGATGGCCAACCCAGTTATGAGCTGGATCTGGGCTGAACACAAGTGATGAATCGTGCTGCCCAGCCCTCTAGCTGAAGGACCAGTTACTGCTTCTCCTGGGAACATGTGCAGCAGCAGCTGTTCTGCGAGCTCAACCCCATAAGAGACAGAGATTTCTCTCCAACTTGGCAAGCTCTGGGACATCACATTTGGGCTTTGTTAATTTGTACATTTTTTGTTCTTTTTTACCTTAGTGGTTTTCTGGGTTGGGATAGTATTCTGGCTTGCTTTTGCATATATTTAATAATAAAGTATTAGGAATATTTATTATAATGTTCCAATTGTATCTTCAATTACTGCGAGGCTACGTTTGTGCCAAGAGCTGCTCTAAGGCTGTCCGCATTGTGAGTCCACTGGATAGGCGATGTTCTCCAGGGGTCTGTAAACTGTGGAGGCCATGACCTCAGCATCTTAAATTAATAAGACGCTGCTATTCTCAGAACAAGCTGAACGTTTGCGTGCTAGTTCCTGGCCTAGAAAACCTTCTCACACAGATACTTGGAAAAGCCATGGCAGAGGTCCTGGTTTCAATCCGCAGTAGTGCAACAATGAAACCCATTCATATCTATTCCTTCATACTCTAAGACCCTACTCCCTGGAGGCCTTCACAAGTTACCACTGGCCATGGTGCTGGTTTTCTTTAGGTCTTTACTGTTGTGACAGCTGCTGCAGTTGCTATTAACGGAACCGAAGCCAGAGTTACAAGGACCACAGCAGTACCTCAAGTTAAATGTTTCCTACAAGCTATTTTTATAAAATTTCTCTTGTTTAGTCTCTACGTTTTCCATGTTAGTTAGGATATATATTTCTTAGATGAGCAATAACAGTTTCAAGGAAATTAAAAAATGTTCAAGTCCTACAATTAGGAAATAAGTTACTCAGCTAATGGGAAGTAGGGCCAGCTGAGGAACGATTGGCTTCTAAAGTTCACGCTGTTTCTACTGCTCTGAGAGCCTCCAACCTCAGAGTTTAACTTTTCTGAGGGTCACCTATCAGCTTGTCAGCTTTCTCTGCCCAGTATCAGGCTCTAGAAAGCCTGGTTTAAGTCTGACCTTTCTCTCTGAATCTGCTGAATTGGAAAGCAACTGTCAAAAGGGGATCCTGGTGACAGTCTCCCAGCCTGAGCAGCTGTGACTGGGAAGAGATGTGTGCTTCTCAAGAGGGGACAGAGCAAGAGTCTCTGAGTATCTTTCTGGGTGAGAGGAGTCCTGCAGAACACACAAGAAATGGAACAATCCTCCTGTGTTCTGCAAAGTGGTAGCATGAATGAAGAACACCAGTTGGAAAGCAAGAATCAAGAAGCAAACCTTGGAGTTTACAGAGGATACATTAATCCCTTTGTGACTCATTTTCCTGGCACTAAATGGTTTGATAAGCAAAATTCCAGACATTAATTATCACAGTGCCAACTGAAACACAGTGAACCACTAGGAGCTGGCAGTGGGGCAGTGGTCTGGCGTAGACATTTACCTGACCACAGGTATAAGGGAATGCTAACAGAGCACATCTTGAAGTTTGATCACCAGGGATTGGACTTAGCTAAGCAACCTACTGGTTTTGTTACTGGCACTTCATCTTGCTAAACCTTGGTTTCCTGTCAATACATTCTTGTCAATAAAGTGGGATAATAGCTCTACCTCTTGGGATCATGCTGACCACCACAGAAAACAATACTGGAAAGCAGGTTATCTGGCTCTTAGAACACTCAGTTGCAGAATAACTTGTGGAGAGTCACTATGAAGAGTAGAGTGAAGCCTTGGAGACTTCTCAAGGTCACCATTAACTCCCAAGTGGAGAAGTAAGAAGCCTGTATCTCAGGTGCAGGGCTATGTTCTGTCCTTCTTCAACCTGAAAGATTGCCTTGGCATTCACAGAATATTAGAAGCAGCAAGTCCTCCCTTGAAGAAAAGTATAGAAGAACAATGACAGAAGCATTATCCCAAATTATCAGAGCATCACCCAGGTTTGGGATGATATAGGAAAGAGTACATTGCTGGTGGAGGAAACTCTTCGTCTGTTTAGTTCATTCTGCTTCTCTGAAGAAAGCCATGCTTCTGTAGAAGCTGAGCCTGCCCAGTGCCAGCCAACCAATAGCACAAGTTCTTTAAGAGTCAGCTGAAATTATAGACCTGAAAATTTCTCCAACGGAGGAGCTCAGTCTCCATCCATGACCCCAGAAGGCAGTGCACACAAAAAGTGGCACAGACCTTTGGGTGCTGCTCTTTCTTGGTGGACCTAATACTGCCCTAGGCAAGATCTGTTTTTCCATCTGTGCTGAGACTTGACAACTGGTCTTAGAAGCACAGGTCTTGGCTGCATCAAAAACCTCCAAGTCTTTACAAAAATCTATGCATCACAAATGCTACAGACACCTTAGCCCTCCAGCCAGGGCCTGGGAGCTTAAAAAACTTCCCATCTGACCCACCACAGGTCTCACTGTGGTAACATCGCCTGTTTTGTTTCCTTGCTTTTTAATAATAATATATTTAATGTCACTGTGCAGAACTTGTCCTAGGGTAAGGCAAGTAAAGCATTGATCTCTGGCCTACCTCAATAATCAAGAGAGATAATACTACAGCAAATCCTTTAAAAAGTCAAAAATAATCTGAAAGAATCCAAAATGAACAAAACATTAGAATGTAGATAATCACAAAGATCTGAGTAGACTGTGATTAGGGGATGACTACGAAGGGAAGCCATTTGAAAAATAAATGGAAAAATAAATACAATTTTGAGCCTCTGGATCTCACGTCCAGAGTCATTGCAAGCCATCACCTTGAACGGCTAGCCACTGACTTCCTCCCAGGATCTCCCTTGCAGCTTGGGTCCTGTCTTTAAATGTGCTATTTTGTTTCTCATGGATTTACTGTGTTAACTTTATACTTAAGAGTGCAGCATTCATTAGCAAGGTTTCTGATTGTACCTTGCACTGTATTCTCAAGTCTGCACAACAGCCTGGTTCTGTCACAGGCCATGGCCCAGGGATTGGAAGAGTAATAACACTGCCTGGGTGCGCTTGGCACACCAGCCCCTGACGAGAGCGGTTCCCCTGCAGTCGTTATGGCGATAAGCTGTGAGGCCGCCTCTCCTGAAAACCACGGAGCTGATGGAAAAGCAGCGGCAGAAACGCTTAGATGCTCTCCCAAGGGCACAGCGCTGTGATGGCACTCCAGCTCCAGCTCCGACTTCTGACACTCCGCTCACTGCTAGTGAAAACTTTATCCCACCCCTTCCTAGGACTTGCCAGGCCAGAGGAGAAAGCATTATGGCAGGTGCGCAGTTTGCAGCAGCTGCAAAGCCACGGGGAGCCAGGGAGCACCCACAGGAGTGAACCCATGACCTGGAAAACACACATGCCATCTCTTCTTAGAGTTAAGTACTATTACCAAAGACAGCTGCTTGCCCCACACTCGTTCTGACAGCTAAAGAATGAGTTCCTGCCTGCTCTGTGGCTGAGATCTCACCTTCTGCATGCCCAGGTGGCCTCCTGAACTCTGTGAAGCCACACTTGCTGCTGAGTGTACATGGGAGCCTTGTCTTTCCCATGGGATAACAAGGCCCATCTGCACGTGGGAAGCACTTTCCTGATCGTTTCCACTGAGTGTCAAGTTCTTTCTATGCATTCCATTATTCAGCTCAATCATATACTTGAAGCTGTCTTTTTTTTTTTTTTCCATTAATAGGTAGCGAAGTGAAGGTGTCTGTCGGGTCTTCGTAAGCAACACACATTCCGGTCCCCACCTGTGTTTTATGCCCCGATGCACTCCAGAGTATGTGAAGTACGCTGCCTCACCTAAGGCCACCAGGATGGCCAGTGCCATTATTAGACCCAGAACACTAGTTTTCTGATTGCAAGAGCAATCACACACGGGCTGTAACTCTCTCACACTGGCCGCAACTCTTCCTCAAACTTAGGCAAGGCACTGAGGTGCACGGAATGCACGAACAGAGATGGCTATGCAGCCTTACTGACCTGTGGGCCAGGTATTCCTGGGGGCCCTGGGAGGCCTTGCGGTCCAGCTTCTCCCTGTATCATGGAGGTAAGAAAAATAAAATGGAAAAATACATACAATTTTGAGCCTCTGGATCTCACGTCCAGAGTCATTGCAAGCCATCACCTTGAACGGCTAGCCACTGACTTCCTCCCAGGATCTCCCTTGCAGGCGGCCCCAACCCCAGCACATCTGGGGAAAGGTCAGGCCCAAGTGCCGCTATCGTGCACATCTGTGCCACTGTGTGCATCGGCACCACTGGTGGGGCTGGATGGCGTGGCAGCCAGCCTCCAAGATGGCCCCGCGTCCTCTGCTTCTCACACTCACACCCTTGAGTGTCTCCGTTTGTACCATGTTTGGTCTATGTGGCCAACAGTACAGCAGAAGGGGTGAGGTATGCTCCTGGGATTGGAGTACAGAAAGGACCAGTCCTTGCCTGGCCGCTTCCTTCCCTGCTCCTTCTCTATCATCTAACCACTCACTCTGGAGAAACCAGCTTCTCTGCCTCAATCTCCTGAGGTAGCTACAGGGGAAGGAAGGGGCTCCTGGCAACAGCCAGATGGGAGCTGAGCACTCAGAGGATAGCCATCAAGTGAGCTTTGCCCAACAGAGTTGGAGATGACTCAGCTAAGAGCTTGAGACCCACTCAGGAAATACTCTGAGCTAGCGAGTCTCTACTTCTACCCTTCAGAACTTGGAGGTAGTACGTGTTCATTGTTTGGGGCAAGTTCGTAATGTAGTGACAGATAACTAATACTAATATCATCATTAACTAATAGACAACCAAAGTCAAGAAGATAGGGAGTCCTGTTGCAATAAGAAAACGAATCTGCATCCTGTCACATCCCATCTTATGTACATAGATCTCTCTGTACTACAGAGCTGCCTGGCTCTGAGGAGAGGCTGCCTAGGTGGGGGAGAGGGTTCTTAGTGACCTGCCAGATCCTGCCAGAAAGGGTGGAGTCATTCTGAACTGCACAACTACTTGAGTTGTCCTGGTTATACCACAACACACATTATGCTTATCAAACACTTGGGGACTTGATGCATTTGGTCTTGGTGGAAAGACCTGGAAAAGTTGACCTAAGAATATCCCCAAGTGATCTGGAGCTGCCACCTGCCCAGAGAGCCACTCTAAGGGAGAAACTGCTCAACCTTCAAGGTCCATCTATCCTAACCAACTAAATGGTGCTTTGAACTTTTTAAAAGTAATCTGAGGGAAATACCCAAAACATGGGTGTACAAACAACCAAATATCCATTTATGGTCCCATAAAATAGGAAACATGAAAGGCCAAATCTCAGGTAGTTATTATTAATGACTTGTCAGAATTAAATCAAGTAAAAGTACCCTTAGTTAAGTCAATTTTAAAATTGTCTCCCAGCCCCCTCAGGGTTCAAGAGCACATGGAGGACTTTCTGGGGTCCTGGTATACACACACTGGAAACACCTGCACAGCTGCAGCTGGCTAATGGCCAAGGAACAGGAACAGGAATAGGGACTCCGATCATGCTGAATTTGATTCTGTCCCACCTAAACACTCACTTTAGAAAACTTGTCATTGTGGGCTCGCTCCATCTCTTTAAAATGCGTTCAGTTCCTTTCAAAAGCCACAGAAAGCTTCTTCCCACTTTATAATCCATGAACGTTTTTCTGAAGGGCTTAGGATCTATCTCTTTAGGATGTAATCAACAGGGAAGATAATGGCTATGGCCCAATTTCTATGAGGTGTTAGGAGCCTCTTCCCCAGTTGCAAAACTACCTCCTGTCACGCAGATGAACGATGTTTATCCTTCCTGAAGGCAAGATCCATTATGTGACAGACAGCCACCCAGCTATCAAAAGAATTCCGGGTAAGCATGTGTGATAAAGGGTGCTACTCAGGCCTTCTACTTGAGAACTAGCTATCGCTTATCTTAAAAGTATATGAAATGGATGTTTACCTCAAATGAGTGAGGTTTCTCTCTGACTGAAATATTTTGGCAAACTGTGCACCACAGTCTGACTTACTGCTTATTCCACAAGATTGTGCTCTTTTTCTTTTACTTTCATAGAGAAGATTTCTGAGTCAGGACAAGCTTCTGCTTTAGGCTGTACACCCCATGCCCCCCTGTGTAACTTTCTACCCCCAGGAGCTGCATCCTTTCTTCTGGGCTTCTCCAGGGTTGACTTGTTGACTGACAGGTAGAAATATCTAACGGAATGTCAAAAATGAGAGATGACAAACAGGTGGATGGATAGGCTGGTGGATGGGTGGACAGTTAGGAAGCGGTGGATGAGTGGATAGATCTAAGACTCTGCAGGCCCACCTTGGTGTCTAATACATAGTTGTCAAAGTTGTTGGGTAAGTGGAAGCAATAAATGAGGAAAGGAGGACACATCAATCAACAGAATGACTATGAATTCCTAGGCCTCAATGTGTATTAAGATATCACAGTCAACATGTTCTTACAAGAAATTGTTGATGCCATGCCCCTATCATTCCTGTAGCTCTTTCCCTTCAACCCCTGCTTCCCTGGTATCTCTAATCCCTCAAAACCTCTTTCAGAGTCATGAAGATCAGTGTTGAGATCCCCAGAAAATTGTCCGCTGCAAATATGAAGACTAAGATTTTTTTCTTTTCTCCTTACCTTTTTCCCTTCTGTGCCTTCTCTCCCTGGCTTTCCTGGGAGACCTTTGTCTCCTTTAAACCCTGGCAGACCAGGGAGGCCTGGGGGCCCAGGGGGGCACTCACTGCATACATCCTGAGAGAGGAGAGAGAAAGAGAATAAACAATGCAGTTGCTTGCAAAGCAAAGTGACCCTAGTTCCAACTTCTCTACATGATGAAGGTTTTGTATTTTAACATTAGCAAAGATGGAAAAGAAGCAAGTGGACCAAAACATTACCCTGATACTTTTGTGTCAAGACTTTGCATTTCAGCACTGATAGGTCTGAGTTATGACTCAGTTTCTCCCTACTTCCATCCAACTAGACAGCTGGAAGTGTAGCTGGAGAAACTGATGTCAACAGTGCATGGAAAACGACTCCTGAGCATTAGAAAAGCATCAACAGTGCAGATTGAAGGCAAGCATTTAGTATTACTAAAAATAGTGTCCTCAGTCCCCAAAGCTAAAGTCAAATAAAGCTAGGGCCAAAAATATCTGGTGTGCTACCTTGAGTATAGTGTTATGAGAAGAAAGGAGAACACAGGGAGCAATAACGGCAGGCTCTCAGGATCTTCTTGCTGTGACACACCACCCAAGCAATGGCCATGACCGAAATTCTTCTCTGCCCAAGGGACGCATTTAGTAAGTGTTCTCTGGAGTAAAGCTTTGTTCTGCTTGTTCAAGGCAGGTAAATGCTACAGTTGGGGTCAATGTAAAGTTCTGAGAGCCCAGGGAACATTCTTCTCAATTGGTGGCACCTCTGAATCAAAGTTTTCAGCACAGCTTATACCAGGTGAGACTCACCTAAGCCTACTTCCTATGCCTAACTCTCAGATAACTCCACAAGGCTTTTCTCGCTAATCCTTTCTCTCCTTCCCTCCTCTATCCTTGCAATAAGAGTCAAGCAAGATAATATAAACAAGGCCCTGGGAATAATGTCAGGATAAGTAATGTCCAACACATTTAGCTATTGTTATAATTCATGAAGTCATTCTTTCCCAAAATCTTTCAAAAACATTTTCATGATACACTGTGCTGAGCTTTGAGACCACAGTGAGTGTGTGTCATGAGTTTATGGTGACTTGGTATCAACCATCACTAGGGTTTTCCAAGGGCTCTTAGCCAGGTGGCTTCAGAGGCCTGTGACAGCTACAAATGTTCATATTAAATGAGGTGCAGTTGCTGATAATTTTGCATTCACTGTGGACTCTTAGTCTCTCATCTCATGATGTGAAATTTGTCCACCACATATCCAACTTTGTTGTTTTGTTTTGGTGGTACCCGAGATCAAACTGAGGTCCTTGTGCTTGCTAGGCAAGTACTTATTTCACTGAGCTATCTCCCCGGCCCATACATATCCAACTTTGAACAGCCCTCCTTCCTGTCACTTCCTTTACTTCTACTTAGTCTTTAAAGACAGAAGTACCTGACTCCAAGGAGCCTTCCTGGTAGCCACAGAATGAGTACAAGCTCCTTGTGATCCCATGGGCCTCAGGCATGCCCACCACAGAAATAACTGTATCACTGGTGAAAACATATACTTATGACTACATCCTATCTCCACTAGCCAGAAACAAAGTGCAAGCTCTCAGAATACAGACAGAAAGGTGTTTGATCTTTATACACTCAATCCATAAAAAATAGTCTCCCACTGTAGATGAGTTCAATAAGTACATGAACCAGGCAATGCAACCAACTAGCAATCAGTAACTAATAAAGCAATCAACTGACAACCTGGCCTTTTGGTGTCTTGTGCAACCTCTCACCAGTGAGGACCTAGCTGGAGTATAGGATGGCAAAGAGCTTAAATATTATAGTACAAAGTAGGAATGAAAAAAAAAAGAAGGAAATTGTGGTTGCTGTTATTTATTTGTTTGGAAAAATAGCAGAGTAAGGAAGAACTCAATTATTTCCAGATGTGCATTGAAGTACTTTAAAATGAGATGCTGCCATAAACCACTGCAGCAGCAGATGGATGGATGGATCCATGCACAGACCCACACATGGATGGTCAGCAGGCAGGAAGTCAGCCCGATGACGGACGAATTCTGGTCCCTGAGGTGTGTCCAGTCTCAGGGTGTACACAGCTGCATGGAAGCTATCCTTTCTACAACACCCACAGCATCAGGAGGCTACATCTGAACAATACAAATCCTTGCTACTTTCAAATTTCTGTCCAATTTCTAGTAGAGATCTAAGCTTGGTCTGTCTTAATTGTATCCTATGCCATTTGTTCCTGAAGGGCACAGCTTTAGGCACGCCAAACTGTACCAGTGAGGTGTTGGACCCAACACACCAGCAGACTGGGGTCCAGTAAGTGAGGACAGCAGTGCCCACCACGGTCCTACCAATGCTGTCCTTGACTCCTGGGTTCCTCTGACCCTCGACCTTCTTGACTGTACATCCCCCCTTCCTGAGGACATCTGATGTTTTCTCTAATATCCTTAAGACTGGACAGGGTCCTGCTTCCAGACAGATGGGCTTGTCTGGATCCAAATGAAGCTTCTGCCTCCCTGGCACCACGTTCTCATCTGTGTGAGCCTTAGTCCCATTATTTGTGACATTAGGACCACAGAGTCCCATGGTAAATGGACTAAGGAATGAGAACTTACACACTGTGCATGAAAAGCAGCGAAAGCACAGTGGGGAGTGGCTGCTACATGGGCCATGATCGCTCCAGTTCTTCTTTTACTCTTGAGATGTGTTTCCTCACCTCCTTCACAAACTAAGTACTCTGGATCATTGATACTTGCCTCTTGGGTTATCTCTGGCAAGTAATTCAATGCCTTTGAGTCAATTTTATTATCTGTAAACAACAATTTTCCCTGATTTTTAGGACACTGGTGCAAAATTTATATTAAAGAATGCATATGAAGTGACCAGCATGTTTCACCAATCATCGTGTGTTCCTAGAACATGCTGGTTCTCCTCCAATCTGCACACTTCCTTTTGAGTGAGGTATGTTCAGCAGATCCAGTTCCCTCTGCCACCCTATGTGGTGTTTAGCGCCAGACGGAAGACCAAGGAAACATGCATTCAGTAAAATGCTTATACACGAGTGTTACAGTCTTTATTGTGTGAAAAACATGTAATTACTGTTTCCCAGAAGTAGAAATAACCTCCAGATCATTTGGATACATGAGTCCTCACCACAATGTTCCTTCCAAAAGGTTCTATAGCCTGCTTCTCAAAGTCTCTAGGTGACAGGTCATGCAGTGTCTGCCTGTATTTCAAGCTGGCATGAAGTTCTGGCTCACTCCACAATGAAATCAGATGGCAATGACATTATCAACCAGGGATCTGGTCATACTGAGCTTGAGTCTTGGCTCTGCCACCACCCACCCCTGTGGCCTTCACCAAGCAGCTAGCCAGTGTATGCCTCAATCCCCTCATCTGTAAGATGGAGACAGTAGCGGAACACAAGCGCAGGTGTGTGAGGACTGGAGGGAATGTTTATGAGGAACACAAGTGCAGGTGTGTGAGGACTGGAGGGAATGTTTATGAGGAAAACAAGCACAGGTGTGTGAGGACTGGAGGGAAAGTTTATGAGGAACACAAGTGCAAGTGTGTGAGGACTGGAGGGAATGTTTACATAGAACACAAGCGCAGGTGTGTGACGATTGGAGGGAATGTTTATGTGGAACACAAGTGCAGAAGTGTGAGGACTGGAAGGAATGTTTATGCAAGGGGATTATCTAATGGAGCCTTCCTGAAGCTGGCCTCTTTGGGCACAGATCTAACACTGAAAATCCATTTAACAGGAACTCTGAGATGAACTTTCTACACAGGCAGTTTTCCAACTATATGAATGAAAAGTGTGATGCTACCCTCTGGGGCAAAGGCAACTATTCTGTGATAAAAGGTGGCTTCTCAGCAAGAAAGGTGCTCATCAGCCAACACAGAGGGAAGACCTACAGAGCCAGGTCAGCAGCAGCTAACTGCAACAGGCAGCTAAAGACAGCCAGGCTGTAACAAACTGGTGTCCACACACCACGCAGCTCTGTGAGACCAGGGAGTCACCACAGCCAGCCCTGAACACAGGTACTCAGGTGCCTATGGGGAGCTCAACTGCCTAGAGGAGCGCACCCCAGCCTTCAGTCCTGCCAAGTATCTATTCCACTAAACAACATCGCAATGCTGTGATGCCTTGGCTGTGAGGCAGGATGCCCAACCCTCTCAGTGTTCCCTCCTGTTACTATTGCCAAAAAAACTGGGAAATCTCAAGGTTGAAATCCTCCTGGAGAGGCTGATGATACAATCCCATTCCTCACAGAGTGACAGAATTATGAAAAACGATCCAAGTTAATAAAAGCTATAATAAACAAGGGATTGGATCAATATATAATGATTTCATGTCATGCCCTTGATGGTGAAAAAAAAAAAAAAAACAACTATTTCTCCTGTCAATAAAAATCAGTAAAATTTGTTCTACTATTCATTTGAACAAAGCAAATAATTTCCCATTAAGGCATCTCCATGCACAGGATATCAAAAGGCCCAAGCTCATGAGAAAGTTTGATTTTCCTCTGTTGCTCTCATTCATGAACTAGGGATTTTCTAAAATTATCCTGTGATCTTTAGAACATGACAAGTGAGACAAGGACCAATCACACCAAATCCAGTGCCAAGCTTCTCCAGAATTAAGAGAAAAAGCTTGAAGGAGAGACAATGAAGGGTCTAATGACAGCCACCGCCACTGCTGTCCATTCTGAAACAAATGCTCCCTGTTGAGCACAGCCTTGCCCGTGCATCGCCAGAGCTGAGACCTGGCCAGAGATCTACTTGGCACCACAACCAACCCTTCAAGTGTGACCCCAGTCACACCCTGCCCTATCCTCGCTGGGTATGTTCACTTCTTGGGGTCCTTGCCTCTCATAGGGAACTCAAACACAGTTCTGGAAGTCAGAATATCTGGCTTAGCCTGGACAAAGGCCCAGCAGCCAGCTTCAGCTTTGGAGTTTCTGCTTCTGGCCCTGGACCCACAGGACCCACAGACAGGCTGCCTGACCTAGCTGCCTCCAGCCCTCCTCAGGACCCACAGACAGGCTGCCTGACCTAGCTGCCTCCAGCCCTTCTCAGGACCCACAGACAGGCTGCCTGACCACATTGTCCCCAGCCCTCCTCGGAGCACAGTGTACTGCTGTGGGGTCAAGACAACCTTTGACCATGGAGGATTGGGTTCTGTACCGAGGAGAGTCTATTTTGTTTTATTCATTGATCCTAACAGTGTTTCAGGTTTTACATGCAAAGCAAAAACAGGAGCAATATTATTACTGTATGAATATTTAAATTTAGCACAACATTATCCAGAACTTCCTGCTCTGTGACTGCACTGCCCTGTAAAAGAGCCAGCAACCACATTCAATTGTTAAGTACATATACAGGGCCAATGGCTGTTCTACTGGATAGCATGGTTTTAGCATACAATTCCTCAACCAATATTGATGCTTATATTGTTAATATTACATTTGTGTGGAGAAAGATGTTGCTATCTCTCGTGTCCCACCACCATTTTCAAAACACATGTACATTGATGGGATGCTTTTACCTTAACCAAGAGATTTATGTCCCCTGGAGACAGCAGTGAAGAAGGGCCCTGTCAAAGCAAAAATAAATAAATACATACATAATGCAAACATCCATCTGTTGGGTGCATCCTTAGAAGTTAAGTGATTTTTGAAGTGTAAGGCATAGCTCATTAGCTGTCTATGTGTGCATGGGACACAAACTGCACCATTGCTGTCCTCCATCCTCCTGCTGGCTCCTTCTCTTCTCCTGGTTGTCCTTCCTCCCTCCCCTCACCAAGCTCTGATAGCTCATATGGCTAGTGGGAGAAGCAAAGGAGAGGCTATCTGCATTCCGGGCCATTCTTAGGTTTTCTTGATGGGCAGCAGCTGCCGCCATCAATCATTCAGAGCCTAGTATGAATTTACACCAATATTTTCAGCTGTTCCCCTTGTGGTAAAAGAGTCCTTCTGATTAAGCTTCATTACATGAAGTCTGAACCGTCTGTCATCGTAGAGAAATTAAAGCCAAGACACGTCTTCTGGTTGCCCACCCCACCCCCTGTTCTGGCCTCTTGGGTGTTCCATCCCATCCTGTGGCAGATACATTATCCAACAGGTAAGATGTCTGCATCAGCCAACTGCTGGAGGAGCTGGAGATGTGTTCCTACTCCTGCCCTGCTGACATGCTGAAAAATTTTATCAACTCTCCAGGTTCTTCCAAGAAAGGAATCCTAGAGAGAACTGGGGTTCGAACCCAGATTGAGGAATGGTGCAGGAATTACTAACATGCTGCAAGGCCCACTAAGCCAGCAGCTGCTAACGACAATGCTGAAACCTCCCTAGTTGTTGGAGGGGAACTCTAGAGAAAGACTAATCTTTGTAATAGCACCTTTTTTTTGTAAAAATGAAAATGATCCCACTGGGACATTTTTATGGTGTAGGCATTGTACTATGTAGGATATTTATGCTAACTTGTGTGTGCTCTCTTACACAAGGCTCCTGGGCATTAGTCCAGGGGCAGGGAGAGGGAGGGAGGGAAAGAGAATGAGGAGTTTCCTGCCCACAGTGTGGCCCTGAGGATGGTTTCGCTAAAGTTCGTTCTGACACATTTTTGTACACACCACAAAGGAAGTCTTAAGAAGGTGGTCAGGTCATGGCCTGAGGATGGTAGATACAAGATGCCAACAGACAGGCATATCCAGCTCTTGGGCATCAGTCACATAGTAGATTGCTATTAAGTTTAGCAGGTCAAAAAAGCCAATATTGCAAAGCACTGGTGTGTAGAAGACAGTCTGCCCCACTCGGACCTCCATTCTTCCTTGGGAACCATGCCTTGTGCAGGAACACTGACAATCAGTGCCAGGCCACACAGCCAGAGACTGGCATGGGGCCATGGGTGTGCCTTATGTGGAGGCGGGACAGCTCTGTGGCATCACCCACCCCGAAGTGCCACACAGGGTGGGACCGCGGCCAGGCTGGAGCTGGACCCACACCTCCAGTGGGCTCCCTCCCCGGCTGTGTCCTGCTTCCCCCCACCCCTGCAGATCTGCCCTTCAAGTCCTCCTCCACTCTACCCCAGGACACAATGCCCAGTGCAGCCTCTGCCTCCAGAAAGCCAGCCAGAGATGAGGGGGCCTGGCAGCTCCTTCCGAAGTGGACCTGGCACTGGGAAAGCGCTCAGCTCACGCCCTCCACCCACCAAGAACGGATGGCTGTGCAATGAAATGTTAGCTCAGCACGCCGATATGTGCAAGCCCCGCACTTGCCGAGTGGGCACCTGGATCCTGACTGGGTGCAACGGGCCGCCCCTAAGCTCTCACGATGCTGGGCCTGGTTAGTGTCTGCTTACCTGGGCCCCTGAGCAAGGCAGATTGCCAATGCCAACACGTGACTCATGTGGGGCCCCGGGCCACATGGTGCCAGTCTGGCCCCTGGTGACTACTCACTAAGCCACATCGCCAACCCTCCTTTATTATTTATTGTGAGACAAGGTCTTGCTAAATCTCCTTGCCCAGGCCCAGACCCAGAGTGCTGGGATCATAGCCATGTACCATCACATCAAGTCCCCCTCACCCCAGCCTTTCTCTCTCCAACTCTATTTTCTGTGCTAATCAGATGGAAGACACTCACAACTGCCCGTACTGTCACCTGGACTCTGCTCACTGAAATTACTTTGCAGGGCATCTCGGGAACCCTGGGAATGTGGTGGGCATCATTCGAGCCTCTATCTGGCTTCCAACCTGACCTGTTCTCACCCATCTACCATAGAGGGCCCCTGGGATAATGACGTGGGTCCTTAGAGGCTTACTGAGCTGCTGGAGAGCTGACTCCAGACAGCCAAGTGAACACTTCATCCCTAACCACTAGCTAGCCACTACTTTCCACTCTTCCACTGGAAGGTCTGCAGGGAAAACCTTCAGCACCATTATAGACACACCAGGACCCTGCCTCCGTCTTTAAATGCCCACTACCTCAGCTAACACAAGGAGGGTTGTCTGGGCCCTCTGTACCCTGAGTCCTGTCTGAAGCCTGCAGCCCACACAGCTAAGGAGACAGGTGGTGCTCAGGTCCAGCCCCAGGTGAAGCTCCCTCAGTATGAGTGTCTTGGTGTTCATGTAGAGGCCTGAGATGCCACAGTCTCTTCATCCTGGTAGCATCTTCTAGTGGACCGAGTCCTCCCACATCTGAGCAGCTTCCTCCAGCCCATCCAGGCCTACTCTTCCTCTTGTTCTTTCCTAAAGAGGCTACGCATGGTCTGGTCATCCAGCTAAACCAAGGGGACTCCTCTGGCACTGGGACACCAGTCCAGAGGAACTCAGAGGATGAGGGAACTAAACCACAGAGAAATTCTGCAGAATCCTCAGCCACACTTCTGGGGACCTTGCACTCAGGGCTGTGTACATTTGTCCAAACTTTAACAGCTTCTGCTATTCTCACGTAACACAAGAAAGAGCAATTCTGTTGCTTTATCTGGGGGCTACTGGCAACCTTGCTGAGGAGCAAGGAACAGGCAAGGTGAGAATTTGCAGTGGATGCTGCTCTTGTCCACTGTCTCACTCTGTGCACATTTGTTACCCACCTCTGTCCTGTTGCATGCCAGTCTTGACCCTGGGAACAGAGCCCAGACCTGCGTATCTACTGGCTTACAGCTAAATTGGATCAAAATGAAACACTGTCAGGAGCTGGAGGGGAATAAATGTGCCCTCCTTCTCTCACGCTAAGCCTTCTGGTAGGGGCTTTGAACCCACTGTGACATCTCATTCCACATCTTAGATCTCTCTTGGCTTGGGCAACAGGCACAGAGGTGGTCACAGTTACTAACTGGGGCTTTTCACGAAGTCTCTAAGTACCCCAAATTAGTTCCCTCCCCCAACAGCTTTCTGAAACTTCCCCTTGTTCAAGCCTCTCCAACTGTGTGAGAGGCACTGTATTTTTTGCTGGAGCCCTGACTGATAGTTAACATCCACACAAAACCCCAAGGTGACATACTGGCTTCCCAGGAGGCCCTCGCTCTCCTGGACTTCCTGGTGCACCCTAGGAGAAAAAAGAAAGCAAGCATTAACTTTAAGGAGAGTGAAATCCTGACCCACTCTCCCCACCCCGCTGCTGACCTCTCTATCTGCTGAGTGTGACTCAGTAGGAAAAGCAATCACACAAATAGGAACTCTGGCACTGACTAAAACTCATGATTTCCAATCTTTGCTGAATCTCCAAGGCTTCCCAGAAATCAGGCAACAGCAGCAGGCATTTAGAAATGAGCTCTGCTGCCTGTAATCCCTGCCTGAAACTCCAAACTAAAACCTGCTCCTACACACAAGTGTGGGCTCACAAGCACACGTACAAACACAGGTACACACAAAATATCTAAATCCTCTCTGGTCCTTTTCCAAACACAGTGCTGGGAAGGACGGGTTATATGAAGCAGTATAGTTCCATGGGGCTGGCTGTAGAACACACAGCAGAAAGGGGACTAGGCTAATTTGGATTAAGAATCTGGATAACTTTATTTTTTGAACTAGAACAAAAAATGGGAGAAAGATCACACAAAGGAAGACACATATATACCACAAACACTACAGTCTACTAGTGTCAGGCGTCTGTGCCCACTAAGAACTCATGGCTTCTGTTCATCTTCTTGGTCAGTGAAATACTCCCCAATGATGAGTCTAAGACTTCTGTGGATTCCTGCTGCTGAGCACCAGGGACCTGTGGAGGCACAGGACTCAGAGCATAGACCCCCCGGAAAAAGCCAGAGACTGAGGATAATATGGAAGCAGCACTTCCTCACTGAGAATCAAACATGCCTGTAGCAGTCTCTTGCAGGGAGGGAGAGATTCCAGGAAAGACTGTGTAGAAGTGCACAGTGAAGGTGGTTCCTGATGGCGGCTATTTGAGAAAAGTGACCAAGGAGCAGGAAACAAACAGAGACCAGGAGGTTCAATACACCAAAGCACAACACAGAGATACAAAGGGCGGGGGGAACGACAACATAAAATCAGAAATCACAATCAACAGAAGAGAAAATATTTTAAATGAAGACCCTAGGCTTCCTGGAAATCCTAACTAAACCCCAAAATTAGTCACATGCTCAGTGGAGGCCAGGACATGGTGGCCTTCCTGGATGGATCTAAACTCCTGATTAATTCCACGGTGTTTCTCTTTACTTACATCCTGGCCAGCTGGACCCTGGGGGCCGGGGAATCCAGGCAATCCTCGAGATCCCTGATGAAAGGAAGAAGACACCACCACATGTAAGCAAGTAAGACCTCCTTTACTTAACCACAGTTGGCTGTCCACGCACAAGTGGCTAGCTCCTGTGAGAGTCCAACACAATGCAGTCCACTGGGCCTCACTAAAGTCATGGCACTCCATGGAGGTGGGCATGCTCCACACACGGCGACAGTGCTCCAGAAAACCTAGGCTCTGTGCTTAAAATCCCCAGTTCCTTGTTTGCACCCTGAGGGGCAGCTCTGTGGGTGACCCGGGCCTGGTCTCACCTTCACTCATTGGCACATGTACTTGATAATTCAATGGATCTTCCCCTGTGCCTGCGTCACAGCCCCTGGGGGTATAATTGGCTAAATGTGCTCCCTAGGCAAGACCCAAGGCAAATCTCTGCTCCGCACAATATTTACTGCTGTTTAGAGTAAAAAGCCATTCCTATCCTGCTGATAATTTCTGAATAACATCAAAAAATGTCATAGATCTCTTTCACTATGGATCTCAGTAGTCAGAAGACCCTTCCTCAAGGAGATTGGCAAATGAAAGCTCTTCCTTCTTTCAGGGTCCAGACTTAGGCTACAGGAGCCAATCCCTCCTCTTCTGGGATTTCACAGGCCTCTCCTCACAGGTAGCCCTCCATGTAGGGTTCAATCTTCCTGACATCTACTCTGCAATAACTCCTAGAATCTATACCTATTGATTATTAGCTCTGAGCCTCAAGTTCATCTACAAAACTGGAAAGAAAAATGTCCACCCTCTTTAATGACAAATCATTTGCAAGAGTCCCACAAGGAAAGGTGCAACCTCACTGCAGCTGCTTCTGTGAGGCTCCTCTGCCAGGGCTGAGCGCCTAAGAAGTCACATTTCCCCAGGAAGTATGTGCGAGCCTGCTGCTGATGGCTGCTACTCCTACAGTGAACGCTTCCTGAGGGCGCTCCTATTGCTTCAGCAGAAAACAGGATATCCACAGTCAGATATCCACAGTCACTCGTGGGCTTCACTTTGTTACACAGAAAGATAAATACCCTCATTTACTCACAGCTCTGTGACTACTGGGGGGAGAAACCAGAATTCAAAACCAGTTTTCCGGGCAATTTGATTAAATTCATGAAACCACACCTGTCCTTCTGTGTCAGGGAGATGTCAGAAAGTGGGGCCAGTCTCAGTTGTCCCAACTGTAAAGTGGGTCTGTTAGAGTCCAGGACCCTCACCATCCATCCACTTCTCGCTCAGATCCAGCACTGCCATATCTTAACCCAGAGATCAGTGCTCCTGCTGCGGAGACTCTACACTGTTCAATGTTAAGAAACTATTTTAGTTTATGGTGCCTCCAACTGAAAACTGCTTTGAAAAGCCAGGCATAGTGGCACATGCTGATAATTCCAGCTACTACGTGGGCTGATACAGAAAGGTCACAAGTTTGAGGACAGCCTGGGAAATGCAGTGGGATCCTTTTTCAAAATCAAGGGCAAAGGCCCTGAATTTGATCCCCAACACACACACAACTGCTTGCATTACAGAACAATTTTTCCAATAGAATCCAGTCCCCAATATAAAACATACTGTACCGGAGGTCCTTTGTCTCCTGGTGGTCCGGAAGGTCCCTAAGAAACAAACAAATTAGTAAATCAAGAAATAATAAAAGTGCTCATTAAGCATGCTGAGGTGTTTATTTCTAGCCCAGGTCTTGTGCTGTCTTAATGGAGTTTCTAGCTTCCTGCCACCTTCAGCCACCTGCTCACTCACAAATGTTCATAGAAACCCCCTTAAAACCACCTCCCTTTATCCCTGACGGTGATGCCACTCTGCCCTTGTCCCCAGGTAGCTACTGAGACCACGCTCCCCTCTACTCCAGGCTCTAGTATAGGGCTGGGCCCAGTACCCCCACTTCTCCATGCTGTGTCCCCTTGGAGAGGTCCTGGGTCTTCCTGTTCATGATGGGCAGATATACCAAAGCCAAACTGGAAGACAACCATGGTCAACTCCAGGTCTTGCAGGAGCAGAATGATAGCTGGGTCTCTGGGACCCTTGCTTTGTTTGTCCCTTAGCATGGAAGATGCTGCCCTGCTTTTCTACTGGGATACATCCTTGTCACAAACAAATCCCAGAAGGTTCTCATTTTAGATGTCACACCCTGGAAAGCCCTGCCAGAGAAAAGTTAGTCCCACACCCAACCTACAAGGCATGCACCTGCATCTCCTGCAGCACAGTCAGGTGGAATGTCCCTAGGTATTCTTTTTTTTTAAATTTATTTATTTATGTGTGTGTGTGTGTGTGTGTGTGTGTGTGTGTGTGGCCAGCTCAGCCCATCAGGGGGCGGGGCTAGCTGGCATGTGGTGCTGGGGAATTGAACCGCAGTCCCTGTGCTTTGCTAAGCTTGTTCTAAGTAGGTGCTTTAGACCACTGAGCCATCTCACCAGCCCCCTCCCTAGGTATTCTTGAGGAAGAGCAATGGCTTCACATGAACATCAAGATCCCTGCAGTATGACTATAGCAGTAAATGGCCCCCTAGCCATCGTATGTTTCAGGTGCCCAGGTGACAGTTCCCATTGCAGTTCCAGTTGCTTCTACCTCTTAGAAACAGCTGGTCATTGTGATGCAGAGCTGGTCACTACCATGCATATTATAATAACCAATCAAAGATAGCCAAGTACTCTACCTCTGTGTCCCTGATTTGCAACCCCATCAAAAACCTCCCTCCCTGGGCCTTTGAGGCCTGACATTTTGAAGAATGATTTATTCCTAGTAGTATGAGCTTGACGTTACAAAAATCTGCCTCCAAATCTTGAGCATTGTTTTAGCGTTTCTGTTTGCCACTGCATGACAGAAAAGATAACCTAAAAGCCCACCCATGACGTAGTCCCCAGAGTCTCTTGATAAAATACAATCAGCATACTTCTATGCCCTATGAAAAGTAGGGCAAACTCCAGAGTAAAGGAAAACTAAAGAAAGAAGTAATGGACAAGCATCCCAAATGCACTGGGCATCCAGAGAGAGGAACAGGCTTCAGGGGACTGAGACATGCAGGAAGAGATGAGGTTCTCTTCTGAGAAAGACATTGAACCTCATACTGGTAGGAATTTTTGTGGATTATAACAGGTCCACAGACTTAGGAACTGATAGTATCAGAAGGTACATGATGGGAGCTCTGGTACAACAACTGAACTCTGCCCTTCGGTGCGGAATGATTCATAGCCTCTCATTAACTGTTTCTCAGAATTCTTCCACTTGACTAAGGATGACAACAGTTGCACACACACCTAGAGACAACTCCTGGGGAAATTCAGAGCTGAATAACTCAAGGTGGCCAAAGAAAGGGATGTACGGCTCCTGGTCTACACATGGTGCATGTTGCTTCACACAATTTCACACAGCCTCACTTTCATCCCTACCAGCAACCTGTGTGTTAGGTGCCCCAGCACGAATTGGCTACAGATAGGGAGATGGAGGATAAAAGCTATTGAGAAACATAGCTAAAGTCAAACAGGTAAAATTATGGGTCCAGTGCCATGCTTCTGGCTGTCTGCTCTGTCCATCAGCAAATGACCCACATGGCCCCACACATAAGCAAGTGAACTGCATTCATCTCAAGAGTAGGCCCCAGTGAGGCGATATACTTGGTCTTCCAGGAAAGGGGCAGAGGCAGCTTGTTACTGGCAGGGCCCATGCCACCACGCCATTTTTATACCACTTTTGTTTCCAAATTCAATTTCATCTAAGCATTTAGCGTATTCATTAAACTAGACTCAGATTTTATTTCTGGGGTCACATAATAAAAAAGTGCACTCTGAAGGATAGATTCTGCATTTAGTTTCAGTCTTAGGTATCAAAAGTTAGCTGTCGGGGCTGGAGAGATAGCTCAGTGGAATAAGTGCTTGCTAGGCAAGTGCAAGGGCTTGAGTTCAATCCCCAGTTCTGCAAAAAAAAAAAAAAAAAAAAAGTTAGCTGTGGCCCTTCAGCAAGCTACTTAGCCTCTCCAACATTCAGCTTTAGGAAGCATAAGAGAAAGCTAGATTAGCTATCACCTTCCGTATGATATTAAAGAGATGAAAGATGCAGTGAGCAGAAGAAGGTGCTCAGCACACGACCCGTGGACGACTACTCCTCAGCTGTTTTTCTCATCTGTCTTTAAGGAATAAGAAAGTGTATGGAAGAAGCCTGCACATGACACTCCTAAATCTGTCTTTGGTAACATTTCTCTTTCCCAAAGATCATGCCCATGCTACGTTTGTTCAAGGTTCAATTTACTTAGCAGCCCAATTTCAACCTTTGGTAGCAGTTTCCACCAAAAGTAATTGTGACCTGTCGAACAAATGACTGGCCCAATAACACAGCAGAAAATATTTGAGCATCAAAAGGAAAAGTAACTGCAATACATTAAAATATACTTAATATGCTTCAGTCTATGAGTTTAAATTATTTTAGTAAATAAACAGACATCAAATTGGTCAAGTTTGCAAAGTATTTGGGAACCAAGTCATAACATGGAGCCATCCCTGGAAATGACCCAAACATTTATACTCAGCCTTCCATAGGCATTGTTCACTAGTTTGCAAAGAGTAACTGAGGGAGTGTGTCTCAACACAGAAGTTTTGCTAAGAAAGAAGAATTGATGGAACTAGAATAGTACCAATTTACAACCCTTGATGTGTTAATTGATAAAACCATTGAGCATCAAAAGGTGTAAACTCTAAAAAAAAAAAAAAAAAAAAGAATTAGAAAGACTGCACCAGACATCACAGACCTGAGAGAACAACACACCATTCATGAGACCTTGCCAAAAACATCAAACCTGAGCCTGATCAAACTATTATGTCTCAGTACCAAGTAATTAGAATCGCTGGACAGAACAACAACATAAATGCTTAAATTAGCAAATCCCAGACTGTGGGAAACTCTCTGGGAATAAAACAGTACAGACTCAGGACATAGGAGAACCTGTACTGTAACATCATGTAACTCAGTTGTGTCCCAAAGTTTCTGATCAAGGAGATTATGGGGCCACAGAGGAAAGTGATCAATGATGTAGAGTGTGCCTAAGGAGAGTCACATGGAGAGAAAACATTCTCTCAGGCTTTCACAGAGAGCAAATTGGTCAAGCAATGGCCATGACTCATCCACATGGCTGACACTGAAAAGGATCTACAAAGTGCAGTACAGGATTTCAGGATAAGTCCTGAGGGGATATGAATGACCTTATCAGATCCAAAAGCTACAATTCTTGTTATATAAGTTTTGCCTTATCTTGGTCTTAACCATTTAACAAAAAAGTATAAAAATGAAGTATAAAAAAATAAAGCCATATTATTATGCTGAGCTGTAAAAGGCTCAGGTCAACAACTTCTGACATTGCCAATCAAGTGGAAGACCCACTACTATTATGGACTACTGGACTATTTTGGAATATCTTGCTGAATTCACACACCTATAATATTTAAATGACAAAACTAAACGAAAAAAGGGGACACGAATGATCATTTTGTATCTGTATATTCAAAATAGGATAGATATACAGCTACATTCTCTTAATTCAATGAATAGAAAGATTTGTTCTGAAAGTGTTTGTAAACAGGATATCATGTCTGCGTCTTGTACAATGAATAACCACTAAGAATACAATATGCAATGTATTAATTATTGAAGCTGTCTTACTAATTTGATTTGAAACTGTCTCACTGCTATTTGTTTCTTAATAAAATTATGGAAAAAATTTATATTCAAGTAAAAAAAATAAATGAAACTTATTTCACCAAGAAATAACTCTCAAAATGAAATAAAAATAAAGGGGAAATCTACAAATTAGACAAAGACTTTAAAAAGACCAAACAATTGAACCAATTGCTATCTGTTTACTTGGCTCTTGATTCAAAAGAAGAAAAGACTGCCAAAGCATAGCATTTCTGAAACAAATGGAAATTTGAACAGTGACTGGCTATTTGGGAGTTCTGAAATGTTTTGTTACACAATTTCACATATGCAGCCCATCACTGCATAATGGTGTTTCTGTCAGTGACAGCTGGCATATACAGTGACAGTTCTATAAGATTATGTTTAGTGACACCATAGCCATCTTAAAATGTGTTAAGTACAGTCTTCAATGCTCAGTGACACATTGCCTAACAATGCATTTCCCAATGTACCATTCTGTCTTTAAGTGATGTATGTTATTTGTCTGTAGTATGCATATACAGACATAGAGCACACACACACACACACACACACACATTGTGTATATATATATATATATATACACAAATATATATGTACATGCAGACACATACTACCATACCCTTAGTGTTCACTGATGGTTGTGATTAATGACAATTTGGGAGACTGAAAGCCCTATGGAGTTTCAGATTTGCTAAACATTTCCTCTTCTTTCTCTGATTTAAAGTGCAAAAAATTGGGCCAGTCAGATAGCTCAGCAGAATAAAGTGCCTGCTTAGGTACAGCGCAGCAGCTGGGGTTCAATCCCTGGTGTGCCATGCCAGCCCCATCCCTGGGACATGCTGAGACAGTGACTGAGACTGGGTGTGGTGGCACATGCCTGTAATCCCTGCACTTGGGAGGCTAGAAACAGGAGGATCACTCTGAGTCTGATCTATGTAGTGAGAGCCCGTAGACCCTGTAGACCCCACACTAAATACATTTTTTTAAAGAATCACTTGTTTTTCTTCTTATAAATCTGATCACCTCTGTTTTCCTGCCCATAGACAAGAAACCATTACTCCCATGAAGTTGTGGGTCACAGCTGTTGGCCTCAGTCTTTCATGGATGTTTTCCTTAGAACCTAACTAATAACTGTTCTCAGAGATCCCCATATTTCCATGAAAACCACAAGTATCTTCTGTAATTGTATTTCTGGCAGGAGATTTGCAAGTAGCCAATCCGAGAGCTCTTTTCAGTTCTCTTTGCTGCTGATTGGCTGCTGCCCTGTAACCGTCTCCAAGATGCACCTGCAATCTGCATCGTGACAGGCTGCTGTACTGTATAGAACCATCTCCAGTGTACTCAGTGAAACTCTTAGATCCCCAAGATGACACCAAAGTGCCCCATACCTTGTAAGCTTTATTAATCAATAGCTTATTAAATTAAATTACATAACTCAGAGACATAGCATTTTTATAGTTTAAACCAGAAAAATATGCATTTATAAGTCCTTTTGTAACCATATCTGAAAAATAACAGTTTTTCCACAACTTGTGGGTGTTCTAGGAATGTAATCATCATGGATCTGGGGGTTTCACTGTATATGAGAAAATAAGTAAGTGCACTTTATTTCCCATGAGCCTAGTGCTGACCACGTGTGCAGGTGCCAAGCCGTGTGCTGGGGAAGGTGGTGGTAACTGAAGGCCAGGCTAGAAGGATGGGCCTGGGGACATGGCTGTCAGTGAGAGCCTGCTCTTACAGACCCGAGATCCAGTATCAGTGAGGTCCACTGACACTTTGATGTTCCTGAGGCCTGAGAGAGCTCATTTTTCAGCATTTTAGGCCTTAATAAATGAAGATCAGAGCCAACTTGAAGATTAAAGGGTGTATGTGTGTGTGAGTGTCCTGAACAGGAAGCCAAACCCCACATGTGGGCATGCTTCTTCTGCTGATGAGCAGAGATGGGCAGACAGAGTGTCGGCTCCCTCCTAGGCAGCAGCGACAGTCCTGCCAACCAGAGGTCTGGCACACGATGTACTGGAAGGCAGGAATGGACAATAACCTGGGCCAGACTCGTCCTTAACAGGTCTGCTTTCGGGGAACTTGCTGGAAACAAGCAATCCCATTGTTGTGACAAATATATAGACAAGGTGACCCAGGGGAAAGAGAACTGGCTTCAGGGAGGGTGGGAAATTCGCCTACTCCCTGGCCGTGTCTCTTGACTAGCTCTGTAACATGGGCCTGGCCCTTCAGAGCCTCAAATCATTCACCTGGACAGCAGTTACACACAGATAGCTGTCATCCCGTGCCCCATAGTCCCAGAGATCCAGCATCTCCCAGCTCTCAGCAGCTGCCCCAGGGCTTCCTTTAGCCCCAAGAGAATGTGGTGCCCAGGCTGATGACTGGCATGTTGGTTCCTCAAGACTGGATTCCACTCCTCTTTTGCAGAGCAACTGTGAGACTCTACCATGTGTTCACCCAGGGGTCAGGAGAATCCTGGTGGCCATGGGAATCTCAATAACATACTGCCCGGGGCTCTTTCCTTTTCTATCTCACGTGGTCACTCTCTAAGTGGTAATTTCTGGGATTACATGCTAAATAAATTCATCAGCTTTGAAGATCTAGCCTTAGCCAAGCCTTTGGGAATGAATGGGATGATTTATATGATGCCTAAATCCCCAACACAGGGTCACAGAGAGCAGGGCTGCTCTATCAATACTCCTGTATGATGCAGCTGCACCCCAGTGAACCTCACAAACCCACACCCCTCCACAACCCCACACTCTGCATGTCTTTGAACCCTCCTACACAGTCTCATGCCATCTGCATCCTGGGGTGGTGATCAGAGACACAATTATGGCAACTTAGCAAGGTTTCATCCAGCACTGAAGCTTTAATAAGTCAGAGTGGTAGGAAGACGCTCAACATTTGATATGCAGCCTCTTGGCTGGAGTCAGCCAATTCCTTTTCAGATGGGATCACTTAGGCAGAAACATACTTCCTGAGTGATTTTAGCTGGCTCTGAAGCAGCAGGTGGGATGAATTGTGTCCATCCCTGCAGTCCAACTTTCTGATTAAGAGCTTGATACACTGACATCATTAGTAAGTACAACAGAATGTGTAGAACCTTCTAAAGTGAAGGAACAAGACACATCCAGGTTATAAGCCTGCAGCTCTACTGTATGAGTTAATTCTTACATGAATCAAAATCCTAACTCCAGGATCTAAGGCCCTATCCAAAGGAGGATTTCTAAAGTAAGAAAATCTGGACTGCTGTGTTTCTTCACTGCATCTTCTGCCACACTGTCCCTACCAGTTATCAGAAGAGTAAAGAAAAGCCCCAACACCAAAGAAAATTGATGGAAAGCAGAGGAGTGTTTTGTTGACCGGACACTCTAGCTGAGGATTTCTGTTAAGGAGGAAAGTTCAACCCACGCAGACAAGAGCCGGAGCATCCATGCACTCCTCCCATGGTTCCCGGTGCACCTGGAACCCAGCCTCTCACCACAAAGAATGGAGACCTCACTGCTGATGGCGGAATGTAGAAATGGGTGATCTCTTCTCCTGGGGAGAGAGGCGGCCCTACTGGAGAGCAGAGCGGTGGAAAAGACAGAAGCCTGAAGGATTTGAGGAGACAGAAAGTGGTCCAAGAACTCCTCTGGGGTGTAAGATCAAAGAGTAAAATGAGAATTTATCTTATAGTTGCTAACAAGGGTAACCAACTAGATTTCTCTTCTTCCTCTCTGAAAATAGTATATGAAGGATGGTTTTACTTCTCATTACTTTGGTTGTGGTGTGCACTTCTTAAATGCAAAATTAAGGAAAGGCTGGGCCACATGCTTCTCTGGTTTGTATCCAGGTTGGTGTAATAGGGATAAAGTTAGATTGTGCACCTGGATTAAGGTAATAATTACAATAACAACTATGAATATGGGTGGCTCAGACATTCCAACGCTTGGCACTGCCCTTGGAAAAGGATAAAGTACTTGAGCTTCTTTTAAAAATAGAAGCAGAGGGCTGTGAAGAAAATTAAATGCATCCTATGGCGCATCTAAGTGGTGTCTTTAACAGTGAAGGGACTAAAGAGAAGACCTCAACATGGAAATTTTTCTCAAATTCTAAAGACCAACATTTATGAAATCGAAGTGTGAGAAGTTTCTGCTGTGGTACAAAGGAAAGATTAAGAAGCAATAAATGGAATATATAAAAAGAGATCATTCCATTCCTAATGAAAAGAATTTTCTAATAAGTTCCTGTTCAGCCTTGATAACTCAAAGATTTTAGCAATTCTTAAACTACCACCTCCATGCAGTTTGCAAACTCACACTGGATAGACTGATGTCAATTATTCATTAAGACTAACAATTGCTTAATTGATTTTACTTTGCAAATGTGATTTCTTGATGTTGTCACCTGTACTAATTAAAAGAAAACAGGGTAATTAACTTTTGCCCAAAACACTTGGAAGTACACTGTTTTTCTATCAGACCCCTTTACCACATATCCCCACATCTCTAGCTATGATTCAGTTTCTCAAAGCCTGACCCAAGAACCTTTATGTTTTCTTCTTTTTCTCTTTTAATTTTAGTAAAATTTGTTTTCCCTTCTTTGAATCAGGCAAGTACTGGTCTCTTCAAAAGTGGCATTCCTGCTATTCTCAGAGTCCCCATGCTCTATCAGCTCCAGCTGAGCTCAGTACATGGGCCTCCTGCCCTGCTGACCCAGGTCCCTGTGACCCAGTGCCCAGGGGGCTGGAAGAAGTCCCTGCAGGGGCTCAGATGTCTCCCTCTGTAGGACTCCACAGAGAATGAGGGCCGCCTGAGAATAAGGAATTGTCTGCTGAATGAGGACTCACGCTGGGGCCAGCAAGCCCGATGCCTGGGTCGCCACGGCTGCCAGGAGAGCCAGGGATGCCAGGAACTCCTCGGTCCCCCTGCAAAGGAAAAAAAAAGAGAGAGAG